AATTTATATCTATATGTAAACGAGATAAAATTGTGTTTTAAGATATGCTAAAATAAATAAATGAATAAATAAATAATTAAAATTATGCCAGATGTTCTACCACGGTGAGTCAGTACCCACCAGGATCAGACCCGTCAGAAGGCCAGCGTCGGCAGCTTTGCCCTACAGAGATGCCGGCAAAAACGACATGAAAGCAGGGAACATCAACCCTTCTACCTGGGAGGCCACGGGAGCAAACAAAGCAGATGATGACTCGGGCTGGAGGCAGGTCATAAAGGAGGCCGTCCACTGACAAAAGTTATCAGAGGAGAGATGAAAACCGGGAAGACAACTTAGACGGCAAAGGGCAGAGACATTGCCCACTGACTGACTGACGCAGTCTTCACTTAGGGCAATTGCAAAGGATACCGTCCATGTAGAATTGGCTTGTGCAGCACTGGAAAAATAGAAGACGGAAGCAGAGGATTTTCCCCCTAATATTAATATTTTAATATATTAATTCCAATATTATCCAGGAGCACAGGAGTTTCAGGGCGGGATGTTCGAAAGCCGGTTAACACTATCCCAGGATTGAAAGTTAACCGAAGTATAAATATTTCTTGTATGAAAATGTTTTTCACTGCTTGTTTTCTGTAGTTTGAAATTATTCCAACTCAAAACAGACAACAAACTTCAAAAAAAATCCATTTTTAAACATTTTATGGACAGTTTTAAGGAATTGGACCATTTTATCATCTAAATTTTTAATTTTTCAATTTTCTTGTTTTAATTGTTGGACTTGATCCAATGCTTTACTTTTTAATATTTTAGTGTATCTCATATCTCAATTTTTCATATAATCGTTGCACATTTCTTTTTTATTCTGAAAATATTTGAGGGCCATTGGTTTTTCAGTTATTACTGATGTGCGCTACCCTCAATAAATAAAGTTTATTATTATTATTATTATTTTAATCATTATTATTATTGTTGTTATTATTATTATTATTATTATTATTATTATTATTATTATTATTATTATTATTATTATAATGTGGATTTAGCCAAGCCTAAAAGCGGAGCTCCTGGGCCGGATCGCTCAGAGCTCGATTAAGCTAACCCAGGATATGCGAGAATTTTGATTTGAGTTTCGTAACTTTACGGTGAGGTTTTCTGTTTATTTTGTTTGGCCTTCTGTTTTGAGTTTGAATAATGTCAAGGTCTCCAAACTACACAAAACAAAAGCAGTGAAAAACACTTGTATACAGGAAAAAAGTATACTTCGGTTAACTTTTATAATCCTGGGTTAACGTTAATCGGCTTCCGAACAACCCCGTCCTGTTTACAACAAGTTAACCTGACATAAGTTCGCAATCCATTCGAATACCTGCACTTGGTCAGCGGTCAACTTCAAAAAGTATGTGACCTCGATGAGCTCTAAACTTGAACCCGCCAAATGGTCACGTGATACTGGTCAGCAGATACCTTCTTTTGACAGGTGTCAATTGACTAGAACATGGATGTCCAATATCAAAGAAGGACGCTATAAACCAAGGGCGCATGTCTCTGTCAACCTATTAGCTGGAGTATGGTCTCATCCATCTTGGGCGACTCCGTCGCCGTCGTCGTGTGTACGCACCCACGAGCAATACCGCTAGCCATGATAACCATAAGAAAATCAATAGGTCATATTCGTATTCTCGGTACTGGACTGGAACTAGCTTGCAATGGAGGCTCATGCGGGGGAATATCATTAAAAAGAGATTAATGTCATTTGCAATTGAAAAGACTCCCTGCATTAGCCTCAGTTGCAAGCTAGTTCCAGCCTAATACCGGGAACACGAATATGGTCTATTCATGGGTTTCCTTTTCTTTCCTGTATGGGTATGGGGCTCCGCTTCAAGGGCCGCCGGACCTGCGCTATTTAACAATTTGACCCGTAGCCCGCAAGGGCTACAGGTCAATAGCCCATGAGGCGAAGCCGAATGGGCTATTGACCCGTGGCCCTTGAGGGCGAAGGGTCTAATTGTT